ACAAAAATCGACCTGACGGCGGCGCATGCGCACGGGTATTTGCGCATGCGCAATTGCGCAAGGGTAAAACAAATTTGTCCCAGTATAAGCCGCGTGAGTGGGATATACGGTTATCCCTAGGTGCTGGTCAACCAATCTACGGTAAATCTTTGGGGGGGGGGGGCTGTTAATGATATTGAATTGCGTGTGTGGTGCCTTGAATAAGGAACCATTAAACAAATGAAAAACTTTCGGCACACGGAAACCAGCGCAAAATCGCACACGTCAACGACTTGTGCCCTTGCCTGACCTCAGCTCCATCTCAAGTCTGCTTTTGCATTCCATTGGACTCGGACGGGAGCTATACTCATTTTATCTGAACATTGGCGACGTATTCTTTATGGTCGCATTTTCTCGAACCCGGTTCCCAGGCATCAGGGAACCTGACTTTCAGGGCAAATGGCTCACCCCAAGGGCCAGTTACTTTTGCAGCTCCGGCCTAACGTGAGGCCAAATGACACGGGTGAGCCCATGTCATCATGCTACCAACGACGTGAGTAGAGATAGCTCCAGCCAAAGCTGCGGAAGGGCTGGCGACGAACGAACAAGCCTACGGTGACAATGACTGCGCGATCAAGACACAACGGTGGATGCATTCAACGTACGGCGCATTAACCAGTGTTGCGCGTTTGCACAAGGATGCATGCTGTCTCCCCTCCCCCCCCCCCCCCCCACAGAAATATGATGCCATAAGTCCTAAGACACACTCAACTGACGCCCTGCCAGCCAGCAACAAACGTGCGCCCACACCGCACCACCAGCCAACAGACGTGCGCCCACATCGCACCACCAGCCAACAGACGTGCGCCCACACCGCACCACCAGCCAACAGACGTGCGCCCACATCGCACCACCATCCAACAGACGTGAGCCCACACCGCATCACCAGCCAACAACAGACGTGCGCCCGCACCACATCACCAGCCAACAGACGTGAGCCCACACCGCATCAATAGCCAACAGACGTGCGCCCACATCGCACCACCAGCCAACAACAGACGTGCGCCCGCACCACATCACCAGCCAACAATAGACATTCGCCCGCACCACATCACCAGCCAATAACAGACGTGCGCCCACACCGCACCACCAGCTAACAACAGACGTGTGCCCACACCGCACCACCATCCAACAGACGTGTGCCCACACCGCACCACCATCCAACAGACGTGTGCCCACACCGCACCACCATCCAACAGACGTGCGCCCACACCGCGCTACCAGCCAACAGACGTGCGCCCATACCGCGCTACCAGTCAACAACAGACGTGCCCCCACACCGCACCGCCAGCCAATAACAGGCGGCGCCCGCACCGCACCACCAGCCAATAACAGACGTGTGCCCACACCGTGCTACCAGCCAACAGACGCACGCCCACACCGCACCACCAGCCAATAACAGACGTGCGCCCACACCGTGCTACCACTCAGCTCACCGAGGTCAACAAAGGCGCCGAACTCTGTCGGGTTCCTGACGACACCCCGGAGCCGCGCGCCGCAGCGCACGTCCTGCGCGCGCATCGCCGCCTTCCAGAACATGGGCGCCGCCATCTCCTGGCGCTCGTCGTACCTGCGGTGACGCGGCCACCGACGGTCAGCGGCCACGCGTGCCTGGCGCGCGGCGGAGACGGCCGGCTGCCGGGGCGATCGGGCCGAGGGAGGGGAACCGAGCCGCGCTGGGGCGCGTTGACGGGGTGGGTACCGAAGCCGATCACCGGTTCACAGCGGTGCTGGTGCTCAGCTTAGAGTCTGATGATGTCAGCAGCAGCTCGGCGCGAGTCTGGTGACGTCACTGCAGCGCTCGCCGGCGCCGTTAGTGAAGCGCGCGTGGCCGTCTCACCCGGGTTCTGACAGAGCTTTGATGATCAGCTCCAGCGTGTGGACGTCCGTGCCCAGATCCGTGGCCAGCTGTTCCCGGCTCCGCCCACCGCAGCGTGACGTCAGACGATCGGCCAGCCACTCTTGACCCAACGTCGGCCGACGAGCAGCCAATTAGCTGTCGACGCGAGGACAACGGTCAGCCATTCAGCAGGCTGCAGGCCCGGTCACCGAGCAATGCTCATGAACTCACAACCTGCTGGCAACTCGCGGCAGGCAGAGGAACGTTGTTGAACGCCATGGAGGGTGTAAAGCCCTAACAACAAACAGCTTCTGCAGAAACTTACCAGAACACAACGTGCCTCAGCTCAGATGGACACTTCATTCGCCGACATCGCCTCGGCTCAGACATGTGTCGTCAGCCAAACCCGCCCACCTGAGACCTGACACTGACCTTGAGCAGCTTGCTGGCCATGGGTAACTCTCGGGATGGATGATGGTCTGGTCCAGGGCTCCGGATCCGTTGGGCGCGACCTTGCCACCCTTCTTCGGCGTCATCTTCGTCTTCTGCGGGGGACAGACGCGGGCACTCGAAGGCTCAGAGAGCACACGGACCGAGCAGTGTCATCAAGTCATTTAAGCTCTCAGTGACGTCTGTACCAAGGCATACGGTCGAATAAGACTTGCGATGCGCAGTCATACCACATCCTGGCAGTAGTCAAAACTGCGTCTTGCAGACCGCACAATTCGTACGAAACACAAGCAATGTGCTCAAAAATTAATCAAACATGACGAAACACGTGGTGTGAATTGGCCGTGAAAAAAATACGCTCGTGTAACGACGTTTTTACGTTTTAAATAAAAGTGGCTCCATAACGTAAGTAAAGGGAAGGAGCGAAGGAGGATCAAGACAACCAATACTCAAAACATACCAGTTTCGGTAACAATCGCTGTAACGCACCAGGCCCTTGAGTTATGTTGTCACCAGGAAACAGAAACGCCTACCGAGGCTACCTCCAACCTAGCGTACCCTCCTTGATTAGGCCACTAAATGTCCCGTTAGTCATACAAAGTACAGTTTTAACCTTCACCATGCTTTGCCGTTTTTAACGCCAGACTGATGGGACGGGGGGGGGGGGGGGCACAATCGATCCCATGCCGTTCCAAGCTGAGAACGGTGAAGCCTAACGGAAACAACAGAGGATTGCCCTTAATGAGATCTCGCGAACGGCAATGAGTCTTGAGTTACTAAACCCATAAACTGATCTCAATTTGCAAGGTCAAAGGCTAAAATTTTCCTCAAACCCGAACTTTCCAGCTTTACCACTTTTACGCACGGAAACCCATGCCTGGCGGCGACTACGAAACTAAACTGGCATGTTTCTCCTTCAATTGGCAGTACAAATGACTAGTGTTATGTGCTTTGACCATATATTTAGGTCTGGCTCCACCATGTCTGCCGCGCGCGGTCCGTGGAACCATCGGCTTGCCACCCGCTGTTTCTGACGGCCGTACATCACCGTGCGGTAGTCTCCGAAAACCGCCGCCATCCCGAAACAGAAAACTAGCTAGACACGTTTCTGACGTCAAAACCTTCGGTTTGGTAGCAACTGCTCTATAGGCCGTTGAAAATGTGGACGTGATTGTACGGCGTGCCGGAGAGGTATCGCTAGAAAACCCGAGGAAGAGGAGAGGGAGCGCGCACAGACCCCTCCCGCCTCTACCAGGTGAGGTTTCGACTGAATATTGCCACGTATGGTCCCGTGGAGCGTGAGGTCTCCTACAGTCTCCAATAACGCTGAATGGCTTGAACGCGCGAGATCGCAATCCCTTCTCGTCAAAAGGCAAGGCAAGTACTCCAAACGTGGCACGCCCACCTGAGGTGACAGACGACCCCGTGCGTCGACACACCAGTAAGCTGGGCGCAACACACGCTGCCGGTAGTCCCCGTGGGTCTTTCGCGTGGACCCACGTGGACCCCAGTCCCGCTCGCCGCGCGTCCCATCCCCCTCCTCCACACCCACAGCACAGCGCCGCTCTCCTCCCCGTCCCAGACCCACTTTGCCCGCCGCGCCCTCTCTGTCCCTACCCCCTCAGACCCATTATGTCCGCTGTGCCCCCCTCCGCCCTTCCTCCCTCCTAGACCCACCTTGCCCGTCGCACCCGCTCCTACCTCCCTCCCAGACCCACCTTGCCCCGCCACGTCCCTCCTCCGCCCCCTCCCCTCGGACCCACCTTGCCCGCCGCGCACTCTCCGCCCCCTCCCCCTCGGACCCACCTTGCCCGCCGCGCACTATCCGCCCCCTCCCCCCCCCCCTAGACCCACTTTGCCCGCCTCTCCGCCCCTCCCCCTCAGACCCACCTTGCCGCCGCGCGACACTCTCCGCCCCTCCCCCCCCCCCCCCCTTAGACCCACCTTGCCCGCCTCTCCGCCCCTCCCCCCTTCAGACCCACCTTGCCCGCCGCGCCCGTCACAGGCAGGATGCGCACGAAGCCCGCGCACTGTTCGAAGCTCTTGGGACCGACACCCTTGACGGAGCGCAGCTGCTGCCGGTTGACGAACAGCTTGCCCTCGCGCCGCTTCTGCGCGATGTTCTCGGCGCTGGAGCGGACCGCGCGATAACAGTCACCGGCGGCGAGGCCGGGGGTCACGTGGCCACAGTGGCCATCGGGAGCCGCCATGCCGGGGTCACGTGGCCAACAGTGGCCATCGGGAGCCCCTGATAACGTCACCGACAACTACATAAAAACAAGCTACGGATGTATGCTAATGATTAGCACGCAAGAGGGGGGGGGGGGGATGAGGATGGAGGGTTAAGGTGATTACCCGCGCTCGTCTTGGTTCACCAGTTCCGTTCACGCTCTCAGTTGACACGTAATAAAACATGAACAGCATGGAGTAATGAGAACATGGCGTAGTTATGACGCGGAAGTACATCCCGTTTTTCATCCAGCAATCAAGCATACAACACACCAAGAGATCGGTAGACCCTTGCAAGTGACGTTGTGCGCATCAACCTACCACGGGCGCCATTCACCTCCTCTCCGCGGAGCGCAACGGCGACCTCCCGCCCCAGCGACACGCCGTCTGCTCGCCGATGCCCCCGCCCCTCGCCCCCCCCCCCCCCCCCCGGTCCGCGCCGGTCCGAGCGCGCGGCGCCGGCACGCCTCACCTGCCAGCGTTGAGGCCGGCACCTTGCGCAGCAGCTGCACGGAGGCCGTGTTGAGGTCGACAACCGACGGCGCCCACACAGTCGGAAAGCACGTCCCCGAGCACGAGGCTCACCTGGCCGGCCGGCATGTCCTTCTGGTACATGCCGACCCCCAGACAGGTCACGTCCACCTGGCGGCCAGGTCAGGTCAGGGGCGGGTTCAGAGGGGGGGGGGGCAGAGGCACACGCAGGCAGGGATGGGAGGATCAGAGGCGGGTTGAGGTGAGGGGGTCAGAGGCGTGCAAAGCCCGCGGGTGGGGAAGGGGAGGCGTGAGGGTTTGGCACGCTCCCAAAGTCAGAAAACGACGGTCAGAAACAGGAAGAGGCAAAAACGGATTAGCTGTGGACAAACGATGAGAGCGGAACCCGCAGCCCCATCAGGGACAGCAAAGTTGGCAGCGTCTGATGACTTATCTGGTGGCCCGTGATCACAAAACCCCTAGCGCCCACTTACCACGACACTGCCATAGCGTTCAGACACAAACAAGGGGGTGGTCCTGAGCTAGTCGCCGCACACGGCCACGGTGCACTGATCTTGTTCGGGACAGGCAATCGGGCCGTTGTCATGGACTCATCGCATCGCGAGGCGCCGTTGTGCGCCGTTCGAACCTTCGCATGCTGCAACAGCCGCGCCTCACTACACGCCCCACCCATTCGCAGCCGCAACCGAACCCTTCCCTCGCCACAGCACGCGACCACAGGCCGCCGCTCAGCCCGCCGCCCGCGTACCTTGACGTACTCGGAGATGGGGTCCTGGAGGCGGCGCGCCAGCGACACGGCGCTGCGGACGCTGCAGTCCAGCTCGGGCATCTCGTCGGCCGCCGCCTTGGTGGTCGAGTACTCGCTGGCGCCGCCCTCGTCAACCAGCGTGACATCTAGCGGCGAACCGGCCAACCAGCCGGCGCCGTTCAGTTCGGCCACGTACTGCCACGTCTCGCGGCACGCCGTACCGTTACCCACCTGGGGATGGGAGAGCATGGGGGGACAGTCAGTGGCGTTCGCGCTCAGCGCCGTTTATGAGCGGTGCGAGCACGGGGACGGATTTGAACGGTCAGGGCAGGTCAGGGGAGGAATGTGAGGTCAGTCTAGGAGAGGGCGACACCGGAGCGACTCCGGCGCGGTCGGCAGCGCTCGGGGTGTGCGGCGAGATAGGTCAGCTCTGGGCGGCCGGGGCACCGTGAGAAGGTCGGCTGGTCGGGCGACCAAAGGGTGCGGCTGCACACAACCAAGCTGGAGAGGACGGGGAAGAAAAAGCCGCCAGTCGAGCTGAATCCAAACACGTCGGCTGATGGGCTGCGACAGGACGAAACCGTGCAAATGAGCCAGGGAAATGGTACCAGTGTAGGAAAAAAGAAAACAGATCCAGCCCGAAGAGACCTAGCGGCGCCGTCAAAAAGCCACTGAGCTTAGAGGAAGTACCAAAATACCCAACAACAAAAGAAACATGCACAAAGCCACAAATCGAACGCACTATCTAACCACAGTGGTCTCACCGACCGATCATAAAGTACACTACTACCAGACGGGCCGGCGTCGGGCGCTCGCCGGCCCGTCCCAGTGCGGGGGTGAGCTCGGGTGCGGCGCGCCACTGACCCCCAGCAGGGTGACGCTGTGCCGCTGGACCATCTCCCGAAGCTGCACGGCGGCCGCGTCGGAAGAGACGTGCGGCCAGCGAGCGGCCAGCCGCGGCTGCAGCACCGCCGTCTGCAGGATCTCCCCCTGCGCCGACACCTGCGGCACACAGTGCAGGAGCTGGACGGGTCGCACTCGTCGGCGCCTGCGGGGAGCAGGGGCTGTGGAGGTAGCGGTGGGCTGCGGCCCGCGGGGGACTGAGGGGATACGCTAACCGGTGCCTGCGGGCAACAGGAGCTGTGAAGGTGGCAGTGTGCAGACGCCTTCCTGGCGTGAACATCCAAGGGAGCAGGGGACCGGGAACTGCGTAGCAGGCCACATCGGACAGGCACCCGCCGGAGAACCGTGGACACCCTCGATACACGCTTGTATGGAACAGCAGCTGTCGACGTCAGCGGCCAACGCATCGGCCATCGCCGAAGGGCGGCTCTGGAAGCGTGTATCGGGTGGAAAGGGATACGGTGGAACAGATGGCAACGATGTGGCAAAGAGCAGCACTCGCATTACCGCTGAGTGCCGACTGTTTTCAATCCAGCTGAACGGCAAACGAAGCGAGACGCGGCAGTGCGCCCGGTGTGAAGAATGCCGTGAAACTGTCTGCTTCTGGGTGGTAGTTTCACGTGCCCAGATCCGCGCGCGAGTGGCGTTGCCTGCCAATGTTCGGTTGGACCAACGCCGCCCATCCGCAACACGTCCACGACATCCGCACGGGCTGGCCAGCTTTCGTCGGCCTCTGGCGCCATCTGTGCGACACCGGACCGACGTGGCGGGGGACGGCAGCCGCTCCAGCACACCGAACTCACCACTCCCACCTTGCAGGCCTTGAAGCCAGGGTCCAGCGCCAGAATCACGCGGCCCCGGATCGGTCGGTGTCAGCAGCTTGGCCTTGAGGTTGCCGCGACATCACCAGCAGCGCCTCGCGCTCAGCGGCCTCCTTCAGCGAGCTGCGCACCTGTCGCTCCAGCTGGCGCGTCACGCTCTTGCTGAAGACGTCGCCCACCGCCCGCTCCAGCATCGACTCGCGAACGGCATCCCGCATGCCGCTGCGGCGAGGAGGGGGGGGGGAGGAGAGGGGGGGGGGGGGGGGGGGGGAGCGGCTCACACACTGCTGCGGTGCAATTAACGGCCGCCAGCAGGGCCCGTGGTGACGATGATTTGGGGTTTTTGGGCGCGTCGACGCTGCAGGTCATGCAGCACCCATAGCTTTGACACAGACCTGGCAGCCTCCCCGGAGAAGGAGTTCACAGCAGTCGGACTCGGGGCACTCTGCAGTCACCGGCTCATGGCGGCGCGACAGTACGGACGATGGTGAGGCTGCTGTCACGTAAAGCGGCGGGCTAATATGACGCCAGCCAGACAGGGAGACCACATCTGAGCTCCGGGGCGAGTCCGCCAATGCCTTCACTCACAGCGCTCCGGAGAACAGCAGCGGTGCCTCAACCAGACTCCCCTCCCCGCCGCCCCCCCCCCCCCCCACCCCCACTCTCCAACACACACACGAAACTTCTCGGTAATCAGCTACGGACAGACAAGGACCGCATGGCCCGTGCCACACCCTCTCACCTGCTGAGGAACCGGTGTCCACAGTGGTCTCTGAAGCGGTACCGCAGCTCGTCCGGCAGCTCCAGCCGCACCGTGATGTACTTCTGCTCCTCCGCCCGGCAGATGGCCAGGTACTCGAAGCTGCGTACCCAGCGGATCGGCTTGCGGAAGCTCAGGTAGTTCTTGTACTTGTACGCCTGATCGTCGGCGGGCGCCGGCTGACTCTTGGACGCCGCCTTCTGCTTGGTGACCAGCTGGATGCCGGGGTGCGAGGCCATGCGCACCACCTTCGACCGGCGGGCGCGAGAGGTCAGGGGTCGCGTTTAGCGGAGGCGACGTCGGCAGTAAGGAAAGGGCCGTAGCAGCCACGCCCTCTCGGACATGCTTCGGTCGGCAGAGCATTGTGACGAATGGTTACCATCCACTACTTACTAATGCAACTAACTGATGTTACAGTCATCCAGGTCACAGTTGAACACGGCCGTCCTTGCGCGCATGTGCGTATGTGCGCACGTGCATGTGTGTCATTGGGCCTCACGACGCACCCAGCAGCTGTGGCTATATGGCGTCGCCTGCCTTTTGCCCTGACTGACTTACTCAGCAACCTTAACACCCTGTACACGTGGACAGGCTGACCTCCTGCTGGATGGTGACGTCCTTGCTGATGACGTCACAGATAATGTTTATCAGCCCGGTCTGGATCTGCTCAAGCGTGGAGCGGCCTTCCTGTCCTGGCTGAATGAGCGCCGCCGGCTGACATCTAGCGGTGCCATGGAGAAGCTGAAGTGCGGCCGGCTCCAGCCCGGCGTCGCGCGCGCGGGCGGCCAATGTCGTGCGCGGACCCTTCCTGCGGAGAACAGCCAGCAATCATTATCTAAGGCGGGGGATGCATAGGCGTTGCTCAAACCCCCAAAGGACATCTTTAAACGAGGAAACACAAATGAAAAACAGGTTGGAAAAAATGAAAGCAGGTTACAGAGCTGCAGTCATCTCTATGCATTCAAATTTATGTTCTCAATGCAATGAAAACTATATACATGAGAACCTGCCACTACAGTGTAACAAGCAGTAAAAGTGACACCTCAGATCACAAAGAAAATGAATGGCGCATCAACGCAATACATGTATAAAGTGACTATCGTGAAATACATTGTTCATGAATCAAAGCGGCATTTAAAAAACACGTGACAAAGAATTAAGCATTGCTAATAAGTAAATGGAAAGGACAACAGTGCATAAGGCAGCGTGGAAAGGATAGACTCTCACTTGTGCGGCTCCATCAGCGTTTCGAGCTGAGACTTCTTGGAGACTGAAACAAGCGCTTGGCGGAGCTCTGGTGTCACCTGGCGGACGCGCCGGATGTTATCAGCAAAAGAAAGACGTTCAATATGATTGAAATTCGCAGAGCACGTCGTCCTTCCCACACATAAAGGACTGTTAAAAAACAGAAGCCTATGAACGGGATATGAGTTAACCGAATCTTTCCAATTAGAAATCTAAACAATGAAAAAAAGAAAACGGCGCGAGGTCCACCTCATGGAATTTCAATACACTGGACTACTGCACACTTCTAAGGACGCAACTTTGTCACCGCAGCTACATCACTGCCGACCATCTCCAAGTGATCGGAGTCTTGCTCCCCACTCCGAAAAAGTAACGGCGCACGTGCCTCCGCGACGTTGCGACCCCCCCCCCCCCCCCTTCCCCCACACACTTCGAAGCCAATGTATACCCCGAATATTTGCGGTACCCAACACAGAGGTACGGGTAAGCCCCCGTGACCGAGAACTCCAACCCCCTAAAACCACTTCGGCACCTCCCGGTGCCGTGTTGGGAGGTCCTGATCACCCCGCCCGCGCGCCTCGCACGCCGCGGCGCCCCACTATCGGGGGTCACCGCAGGCGCACGGCACCCATCATGATCGGAGTCGGCCGGCGGCGTTCTGACGCCGCTGCGGCGCCGCCGGTGTCGGGACTGATAGTGCGCCGCCGTGGTGGTCGGCCTGGACGAGCCGTCTTTGTACTGCAATTCGCTGACAGGCTGACGACAAAATGGCAGTAGAGGGGGGGGGGGGGGCATACACGTTCTTTTTCTCCGGTAATCTCCTTTATTGAAAGTTTTTTCTCCACTCCATCCCGCCAAGAGCACGATGTCACGCCTACGTCCGGTTCGGGCTTCGATCATCCCTGAGAGCAAGCGCTGATTCGAATGTCATACCTTGACGTGGGGTGGCTTCTACGTACACTTTTTACGGAATGGAATCCAGGGTCGATTTTTGCATTGTTTGCATTGCGCTCTCAGGACTAAGAGCAAGTATTTAATCTTCCTTTTTTAATTATTATCCTTCTGTGTTCTATCCCACCTGGCAGATAGTGCTAGATGTACTATTAGTTTCAACACGGATATGCTTAGGCGCTTGACCACGGTACGCCATTGCGGATCAAAGCAATAGGCTTGCGAGACCTGAATGAACGAGCCGTTCCCATGAACGTGGCCCTGAAAAGTTACCACCGCCAGGTAATCGGAAAGAGCGGTGAGTTCCCGTTGGCCGTGGAGGCAAGACCGCAGCTGGCGCTCCTGCTAGTGTAAGCGTCTACTGCCATCGATCGGCAACTGCCAAGACTGCGACCCCGAAATTATTTCCCAGAAGAGGCAGGTTTTTTTGGCTAGTACTGATCAAATGCAGTTTATAGGACGCACGAGAGCAGCCCACACGGAGCCTCATGTATTCCGTCCATGCCGTTTTTGTCTGATATGTGGCATACCTGCAACATTGCCATGCACCGACTGCAGCTGGCTCGGATCAGTTGAACAGCTGCCTATCTGGTAGGCTCAAAACATCGACAAAAAAGTGCTTGAGTAAATGTGATCACATATTTCGGTAGCAGGGATGTCAAACGTGCGTTGATAGAAGACACCGTGGTCTCGCGGGATGTACGAGCCCCCCCCCCCCCCC